GCCTGGGCAGTCGCTGGGCCCCGCTGTGAGGCCCGAGCCTCCTCCTCCCCGGTCCACCCTCCTGCGGGCCACGCAGCCTCCTGTCCTGCACCAGCTGCCTGCTCTCAGTCCCAGGCAGCTCCCAATCCAGATCCCGACTCAGACAGGAGAGGGGCCTCGGGGTCACGCAGCCCTGGGTTCAAACCTGACCCTCCACCTCAGGGCCGATGGTCAGTCCTCCGCCTCAGTATCTGCAGCTGCAAGGTGGGCACAGTGACCTCTGAGAGGGCTGACTGAGTAGCACAATGGCCAAGAGCTGGGACCCTGGGGCTTGAGCCTCAGCTCTGCTGCAGGGCCTTGGGCAGATAACACATCTTTGCCTGGTGTGGGTTTCTTCATCTGTAAGATGGGGTTTGCAGGGATCTCCTCCTGATAAGTGGTTATGAGGATTAATAAGTAAATAGTATTTAAACTCCTCTAGGCCGGGCATGGTAGCTCATACCTATAATCCCAGCACTTTGGGAGGCCAAGGTGAGAGGATTGCTTGAGCCCACGGGTTCGAGACCAGCCTGGGCAACTTGGCGAGACCTCGTCTCTACAATAAATCAAATACATAACTAAATAAATAAAGTTCTCTAGAACCGTGCCTGGCAAATAAAAAATGAAATGCTTGGCACAGAGCCAGGCAGGACACAGGCTAAGGGGTGAAGCAGGGGTGGCAGCAGCCAGAATGCCCAGGGAATGGCCCCCCACTGAGACCCAATCACGGAGGAGCCCTGAATGCCGAGTCAACCGCTCTGGGGAGAGCTTTTGTGTGAAGAAGAGATAGATGTGGGGGAAAGTATGTCGGGCGAGGGGTGAGGGGGCAGGTGGGGACCCAGGGGTAGCATCGGAGGCCCTGCTCTTCCGGTAGGCGGGTGTCCGGGGCCAGGAGGAGGACCGACCTCAGCACTCTCCGCCTCCTGCAGGGGGCCGTGTGAAGACGTGGAAACGGCGCTGGTTCATCTTGACGGACAACTGCCTCTACTACTTCGAGTTCACCACGGTGAGTGGCCCCAAGCCCTCCCTGTCCCTCCCGCCTCCCAACTCCCACCTCCCACTAAGCCACAGATGGAGAGAGCCGGGGCCCCTTGGGATCGTTCAGTCCCTCCACACCCGTTTTACAGATGGGGAAAACTGAAGTCCAAAGAGGAGGAAGGGCGGGTCCAAGGCAGAGCCCAGGCTGAGAGCTGGGTCTCCCGACTCCCGGCCCCTGCGCCCATGCTGTCCCTCCACCCTCAAGACTGGACAGAGTCTCAGAAGACAGACGACCCCTCTTTGGGTCTGGGGAGCCCCTCGCGTTCACCCTCCTCCCCCTGCCCCACAGGACAAGGAGCCGCGGGGAATCATCCCCCTGGAGAACCTCTCGGTGCGGAAGGTGGATGACCCCAAGAAACCAGTACGTGTCGGGGCGGGGCCCAGTCAGAGGGCGGGAGGAGAGGGCAGCCCACCGGGCTCCCCAGGGCCGGGCCCACCCATCATGCCTGCTGTGTGCTCGGGGCTGCCCTCCTCTCTCCCGGGGCCAGATGGCGTGGTGGTCCTCTGGCAGTCTGACTCTGACACAGGCCAGATGGTCTTGAGTACGGCACTGCTCCTTGCCAGCCTCGGTTTCCCCATCTGTCAAGGGGGATTTTGGAGCAAATGGTGGATCTTGTGGGGCCTGGCACACAGCGCGTACCCAGTGTTGGGGGTCGCAGCCCCTTCACCCATCCCGGGGAGGGGTGGGGCCGTCCCGCTGGGGGACAGCAGCTGTGCGTCGGCCTGAGCGTCACAGCCGCCTCCCCACAGTTCTGCCTGGAACTCTACAACCCCGGCTGCCGGGGCCAGAAGATCAAGGCCTGCAAGACCGACGGCGACGGCAAGGTGGTGGAGGGCAAGCACGAGTCCTACCGGATCTCGGCCGCCAGCGCCGAGGAGCGTGACCAGTGGATCCAGGCCATCCGGTGAAGGCGGGCTGGGGACGGCGCCGACCCCGGGAGCCCCTCCTCCTGGCGGTCTTGTTTCTTGCCTGACTCTGGCCTCTCCTCCGGGTCTGACATGGGTGCTTCCCGTGTGCCCGGCCCCAGGATGCAAGGGCGAACAGCCTGGCAGGCTTGGCGGGGCGGGGGGAGCTGAGCAAGGGGTCTCACAGAAAGCTCGGGCCCAGCACCCGGCCCATGGCGAGGGCTGCAGAATGGTGCCCTGGTGGCACCACACTCCCAAGTGGCCCTGGAGGGAGCCGGTGGGGTGGAGGGAAAGCTTTCCAGGTGGAGGCCCGGCATGGACAGACGCGAGGGCCAGGTCGCAGGCGGCTACCCACACAATGTCCGGTGCCCAGGCGAGGCGGGCAGCGCGGGGCTGAGGCTGCGGAGCGTGGCAAGGCCACAGTTGCCATGGTGACAAAGCGCTGGTGTCTCCTGGGGCACTGGGAAGCCATAGACTTGTAAATAGGGGAGGGTGGCCGGGTGAGGAAGGCCACAGTGAAGGGGCTGGTTCCGAGGCGCCAAGGTGGGTGAGAGAGGGACAGGTGTCACCGCCGTCCAGTTGAGAGGCGCTGATGTGGCTGTTGGCTGAAGAGGGCAGTGGGGAAGGGGCCCGGGGACAAGGGAACAAGGTGTCAAATCTGCCCAGGGCCTGACTCTGAGCCGGCCCAAGACCTTGGTCAGGGTAGGACGAGTCAGCCAGAGGAGGATAGGAGTGGTCGCTGGAGAGGGCCATTCCCCAGAGGCTTGTGGGCCTCTTCATCTGGATCCATCTGCACTTTACAGATGGGGAAACTGAGGCCTGGAAAGGGGAGGGCCTTGCCCAGGGCCGCACAGCCAATGGGGTCAGAGCCAGGTCTGGCTCCACCCTATGCCGCCACTCCTCCTCCTTCTCCTCCAGAGGGTCAGAGGGTATCCCACAGGGAGTCTGACGCCACAGCGGGGGGTGGCGCTTTGGGTCCCACCCATGGGACCCTGGGCTAGGCTAGCAAGGCTGGACTTGCCCTGGCTGGGTCCTTGTGAGGGTTGTCTGGCCTTTCTCTAGGGCAGAGTAGGCCTACCCCCTGGCAGTCTCCTGCCCTGGTTATGAGTCCCGGGAGACTAGACCCTGGGGCCAGCCCAGCCCTGACATTTCTTCTCCCACCCTCGTTCCAGAGCCAGCATCACCCGCGTCCCCTTCTACGACCTGGTCTCTGCCCGGAAGAAGAAGATTGCCAGCAAGCAGTGAGCTTCCTGGAGGAGGTGTCCTGGGAGTCCCGGAGCCCTGCCTCCTACCCGGTGCACCCTTACCTGGCCTCCGACGTCCTGCTTTCCCCATTCCCTCGAGCTGACTGTGGAGGGAAGGCAGAGCTGGTGGGCGAGAGCCCCAGAGGGTGCCCCGTGCGGCCAGGAAGGATCCCAGGCCCTGTCCGAGGTCCACTACAGTAAAGGATGAGGAAGGCCGGGAAGAAGCCAGCCAGACAGCAGCATTCTCCTCCTCCCTGGACGCTGCGTCCTCGCCTCTGAAGCAGCTCGTTGCCTTCTGACACAGCCCTTCAAGTAGAAGGCACTACGGGGTCCCCTAGAGCCTCCGCCTCTGCTCAGGGGCCATCTCTGCCAGCCCCTCCCTGTCCTCAGGTTGGGTCGGCCACCTGCCTGAGCAGGGCTCAGCACACGCACACTCAGACCCTCGATGGGACCCCAGACCCCACAGACTCTGACCTGCCATGTGCCCTCTGCCAAATCACACCTCTTCGCCAGTGCTTGCAAAACAGCAGTGCTATGGGCCCCAGCTTTCAGCTGGAGACACCAGCACTTGCTCAGAGAGCCAGGTGGACTCTGGATGGAAGGCTGCCGGGAGACAGCAGCAGGGCTCCACCCTCAAGGATGTCACGTGGGACAGAGGAGCAGGTGGGATTCCTCAAAGAGTTGACAGGAAGCACCCCGGACAGGTGGGGTTCAAGCGGGACAGGTACTGCAACCAAGAAGCCAGGAAAAGAGAGTTTGTGGGCTGTGGCTGCCGGGAGGACTGCCTGGAGGCAGCAGCTGAACCAATAAACAACACCGGGCTCATGCCTGAGTCTTGGCAACGGCTCCCCTGTGAGACCCAGCAGGTCCCAGCATCTCCAGACCCCGGCAACAGCATCCACAGAGCAGAGCCACTTCCCTGGTCCCCGGCAGTCTGCTCTGTCTCCAAGGACACCTTGCCTGGAGGAAGAGGCCACTCACCCCCTCACATGGGCCCTGGGAAGTCCCAGGAGGGAAATTCCCTGGCCGGAGATGCGCTCACCTCTGCCCTACTGCTGGCGTGCGTGGGGGCAGGTGGACTTCCCAGCACCCCTCCCCCTCACCACCCACACCACACGTGCCTACCTTCCGTGGGTCAGGATGGAGCTACTGCCTTGGCATGTGGTGAGATCCCCGTCTCTGGAGGTGTGCAAGTAGCCAGTAGCAGTCTGGGTGGGGGTCCGCAGGAAGAGGCCTTGCCGGACATCTGAGAACTTCCACAGACTCATGTCAGCCTGTGAGCTGAGCCGCACCTCTGCCATCTCACTTGGTCCTGAAGGGACAGTCAGGGGAAGCTGTGGAAAGAGCACAGGGCTGGGGCCGAGGGTGAGAGTCCTCTCCTGCCTCTGGCACACACTAGCTGTGTGACCTTTGTCCACTCCCTTCCCTCTCTGGTCCTCAGCGTCTCCTGTCATGGAGTGGGTGGGATCTGAAATTTCCAGGTGTGAGCAGCTGTTCTGGAAACCGCTCAGAAGAGCAAATAAAATTCACGATCCAACTCACAGGAGGCCTGTCCTCTCATCACCAAGTCTGCCATCCTAACCACCCTGGCCCTTCCCCTTGTCCCTTTCCCAGCTGAGGGCAGGATACCAGACAGGGAAGAGAGTGCCCCGCCCTCGGGACACTGGCTGCCACACTGAACAGAAGCCCCTGGGCAGACTTCCAGCAGGGATCCCTCAGCACAAGGGCAGGGTGGACTTGCTCTGTTGAGCCCAGGGAAAAGCAGAACTCTCCAGTAGGCAATGCCGTCCAAAGACAGAAAGAGCTGCTGCCTTGGGAGACAGGTAATGAGTTCCCTGTCTCTGGAGGAAGGCAAGCACTGGCTGCTCCAGTGATCACTTGGCGGGTAACAGAGGCATTGAATTTGCTAAGTTTCATTTATTTGTACTTCCCACAAATATTTATTGAGCACTAAAGTGTGCCAGCCACTGTTCCGGGCACTGGTACAAGGCAGAATCCCTGCCCATGTGGGGCTCACATTCTGGAGGTCCTGAACGCTGGGACACGTGCCGTTATGAAGGAAGCAGAGGGGGCAGTGGAGGGCTGGGCTGGGCTGAGCAGAGGGGCAATCCGGGGAAGCTTCTCAGAGGAGGGTGGCTGAGTGGTGGCAGCCGGGCCAGGAAAAGGACACGCACCTGATGGTTCAGTGAGGTTACCTCGTGCCCCCCTCCCCATTGGACAATGAGCTCCTTGTGGGTCAGACGGTGTCACTGCTCAGTGCCTGGCACACAGTAATCGCTGACTCAACTGAAATTGACTAAGAAAGAGTCCTCTTAGAGGGGTGGGGCCAGGTGAGTGCCATGACACAAGCCTGTCTTGGAGACAAGGTATTTCTGGGACTCCCTGGGGCCCCAAACACAAGCCCTGACCGCATCAGCAGCTGCAAATGTCTGGAGGCCGAGGGAACCGCAAGGACCTGGGTGACGCTAGAGGATGGAGGAGTGGCCGGAGGAGTGGCACAGCCACGTGGCCATGTCACCCTGGGGACCTAGGGGAGTCCGGCCCTGACTCACTCACCCTCCCTGGCGGCCCTGCCCACCTTCCCACCATCCTGCCACTCCTTGCTCTGGGCAGCAGGGGGCACCCACCACACGCGCATGAGAGGTCCAGCCGCTGGACCCGCACAGACCGGCCCAGGCCAGCCGCCCCTTGCAGGGACGGGGCTTCTGTCTAGAGCAGAGCCCTGGCCTGGACGTCCTGGAGCGGGGAGGCACCTGGTCTACTAAGGGCCTGCAGGCTCAAGTGGCCCACAGACAACCATGGGCGCGGACGAGACTGGCCTCCCCTGCCCTGGCGCTGGGCACAGTCCCCCCTGCTGGGCCTGGAGTCCCAAGACAAGCTCACTCTCTCAGGCTGTGGGAACCTGAGCTCCTGCTCCCCCTCTCTCTGGATGGGACTTGTCTCCCTGAGGGGTGGGGCCAGGTGAGTGCTATGACACAAGCCTGTCTTATTTCTGGGACTCCCTGGGGCCCTAAACACAAGCCCTGGCGGCTAAAAGGAGGCAAGGCCGAGGCAGGCAGGGTGCCAGCAGGGGCTGAGCTCCGAGGCCACAGCTCCAGCTGCCCGATGCTCTGACCCAGCATCCAGCATCGTGGCTGCTGAACACAGCCGTCCAGGCCCGAGGGAGTCCTGACTTGGCATAGGATGCGATGGGCTGGGGCCGCAGAGGCAGGGGGCATGAGGAGGTAGGGGGACCCCTTCCCGGTGCCTGGAACAGCAGCCTCCACCCTGAGGCCTGGCACCAGAGCTGGCACGGGAGCCCTGGGCCGGATGCTGGGGGGCAGGAGGTGGGGGGGCAGCCAGAGCCAGCGGCAGGTGTGAAGGACCTGGGGAAATTGATTTATTAGGGCCATGAAAGGAGCTAAACATGTCTGCAGGCTGGCAATGACTCAGGCGGTCCCCAGGGGTCCGCAAGCGTGAGCATCAAAGAACCAGAACTGGGCTCCTCCCACCAGGCACCACAGCCTCGAGCCCCTCCCCTCCTGCAATGGGAGGACTCTCCCCCTCCCCGCCCAGTGTCCTGAGAGTCTGGCCTGGCCTCGGAGGGCCACCAGAGACCTAGCACTAGGCCCGTCCGCCCCAACCTCCAGACGTCACACGGAATGGCTGAGGATGAGCCCTGGAGAGACACATCTGGGTCGGAGTCCTGGCCTGGGCCCAAGCTGTGATGTGACTTCAGACACGCGGCCGGCAAGCTCTGGGCCCGCATTCCCAGGAGGACCCATCGCAAGCCAGACCCCGTGCACCTCCCCGGCTGGCAGTGGCAGTGTCGCCCCATCCCACGGGTCCTCCTGCAGACAGCGGGCACAGCCTCCTCCTCTGCCTGAGTGCCACCAACTGCCTCCAGGAGCAAAGCCAGACTCCACAGGGCCTCGTTGGGAGAACACGCTCTTCCAGGCTGCTTCCGGGCCGCCGCGTGGGGCTTCCGAGAAACTGGATGAATCAGCCTGGAGGCCAGGGCTGGGGGGACCCAGGAGGGAAACATGGCCTCATAGTGCCGGGAGTGCTGGGGAGCTGCAGTAAGGATGAGGGGCGGGGCCGGCGTGGCAGTGCCGGGGACATTCCTGATGTGAGGGACTGCTGAGAAACCATGGAGCTCCCAAACAGCAGCTCTCCAGTGGGCCTGGAAGAGCCTGCCTGGAACAGCGAGCCTGGGAAGGGAACAGAAGTGGGACCAGCGCAGCCAGCCTGCACCTGGATAGCATTGTATCTGGATAGCATTGGCCAGCTGGGAAAGGGCTCAAAGCAGGAGGGAGACTCAGCTGGAGGCTGTTTGGGGGTGGTCCCTCAGGCCAGGTGTGGGAACCGGACAAGGGAGGCAGCCACAGGTGAGTGGATTCGAGGAAGGGGACAACGGAGAAAGGCTGGAGGGGCTTCCAGGGCCAAGGCCTGTGGAGTGGAGGGCAGCTCCCAGCAGCCCGCCGGGGCAAGGGCAGGGGCGGGCAGGCATGGGGAAAGGGGAGACACGCAGGCCACGCTGAGTCAGAGGGGCCGCCGGACCTCCAGATGGAGACCTTCAGCTGCAAGCTAGACCACGGCACTGCTCAGCACAATGCCCTCCACCTTCCCCTCTGCACCCTCTAGTTGCCCCTCCCCTGCCCCTCCCACTCACCCCATCCCCTTCTCGGGTGTCCAGTCCTGGTGCTGTGTTGTGGTGTGTGATCCAGGACCTGGGCCTGCTGCCTGCCTGCAGGCTAGGCTCCCACCTGGCTCCCCCTTGCCGGCCATGTGGCTCGGGGCCTGCAATCCCACCAGCCCCGGGCCTTGGTTCCTCAACTCCCGGCTGTAGGGCCAACCCGGCGCTAGAGGCCAGCCTCCCCACCAGCAGTCACAGCCCCAGGGCTCCAGATCATGGTGGCACAAGCTCTGAGGCAGGGGCTACTCCAATGTTGGGCCCGCCCTGCAGGAAGAGGCGGAAACTTCCATGGGTCACAGGGCTGGGGCTATGGGGGGGAGGGTGGG